CAAGAATAGCTATTGGTGCCATGCCATGGATGAAGAATTTGCAGCTCTGAATGAACAGCGCACATGGGATTTGGTGCCCCTACCCAAGGGCCGAGATCCTATTGGTTGCAAGTGGGTGTATCGCATAAAACGGAATCCGGATGGCTCCGTCTCTCGGTACAAGGCTCGTCTAGTGGCCAAAGGGTACCATCAAGAGTATGGCATCGATTATAAAGAGACGTTCAGCCCAGTTGTCAAGCAGCAAACCATTCGTCTGGTACTCACTCTTGCTCTACACTATGATTGGCCTCTTCATCAGCTTGATGTTACCAATGTCTTTCTCCATGGTACACTCGATGAGGATATTTATATGTCTCAACCACCGGGCTACGTCAATCCCAATAGGCCTGAGTTTGTTTGCAAGCTGCGCAAATCTCTGTATGGCCTTAAACAGGCTCCTCGTGCTTGGTACACTTGTTTTGCTACTTTTTTGCAGGGACTTGGCTTCCAATGTTGTCGTCATGACACCAGTCTGTTCACTTTTCACAGCTCCCGCGGCATGGTCAGTGTTCTCCTATATGTTGATGACATCATTATTACAGGGAGCTCCACTGACCTCATCTCTGCTGTTACTCAGGCTATGCATAAAAAGTTTCGCCTCAAAGACTTGGGCCCCCTGGATTTCTTTCTTGGCATTGAGGTTCGTCGCTCTGCGGATTCTATCTTGCTTCATCAGACAAAATACATATTTGATCTTCTTCAGCTGGCTGGCATGACTGATTGCAAACCCACTGTCACTCTGATGGTGGCGCGGCCAACCCAGGAGATCTCGTCCACCTTCTCCGACCCAAAATTGTTCCGTAGCCTTGTGGGTGGTCTACACTATCTTGCGGTGACTCGCCCTGATATTCAGTATGCTGTAAATCGAGTTTCTCAGACCATGCATAATCCTACAGAGAAGGATTACTTGGCCCTTAAACGTATTCTTCGCTACTTGAAGGGTACTTCTTCTCATGGCCTTCTGTTCAGAAAANGACGACGTTATGGCTGGCACTATGACTACACATCATGTTCCTTCTTCTGAGCAGCTTGCTGACATCTTGACAAAACCGCTTCCGCCGACTCCGTTCCATTATTTGTGTTCCAAGCTGCCCCTCGTATCCGTTGATCAGCTTGCGGGGGATAATAGGAAGACTCCTAATATTATTTAGTTTCCTTATTCTTGTATTACCATAATTACTTTATTCCTTTCCTACTAGGAATAGGACTCTCTCTCTTGTAATCCCTATATATAGGAACATATCTCTCAATATTCAATAAGACAAATTATTATCAAATTGTAGCAGCAGAGTGGCCATGTTGAAATATTGGAATAATAATATTGCTCCTTGAATTATGAAGTACATGATAGAGTATATATAGAAGAGACTCCTAACACAACTAGAAATAGAGAATGGAAACTAACTAACATACAACATCTACCACAAATAGGATTAAGAAGCTGACTAATAATGAAACACTACCATAACTAATACTACAAGAAGTACTATTAGTATTAGTGTCTAACATCCCCCTCAAGATGAACTCTGGCTGAAGCAAGAGGAAGCTTGGACACTAGATGGAAACTGGAAACTTTGAGAAGAGAGAAGTCGGACATGCGCCGGTGGCTGCTCACGTCGTTGGAAAAGAGAGAAGTGTGACGCTTGCCGGTTGCTGCTGACGTCGTTGGAGAATAGAGAAGTCTGACGCGCATTGGTAGCTGCAGACATCGTTCAAGAAGAGGAACAGAGAAGGTTGACGTGCGCTTGTAGCTGCTGACGTCGAAGAAGAATAGAGAAGGCTACTTGAGGTGCCTGTTTGACTGAAGATCTTTGACATTCTTTGTCTTTTTCTTGGATCCGGGCAATGCCCTATTTCTTTCTTGAAGGGGTGTAGAAGGATTCTTTCCTCTTTCACTACTTCCCCTATTGGCGTTGCTTTTGTGTTATTTTTTTTTTTGGATTTTTTATTGGTTCAACAAAAGAAAAAGAAAAAGGATCGATGTTGATGATTAGAATGAGTGATTTTAGAGAGGAAAACAAAAGATGGATTAAGAATTGGTGATGGAGAAAAGATCTACATATGAGATTCTTATATGGTAAATTGGAGAGAAACAATAATCTTTTTTCCTTTTTTTTGAGAAGATAGGATGATCTCAGAGAGTTTGTGAGGAGTTGGTTTTTTTTTTTGAAGAACCATGGAGATAAGAAGAGAGAAGTTTCTCCTTTGATAGTTTTTTGTGTGATTTCCACAGGTTTTTTTTCTTTTTTTTCATTTGAATGGAGAAATTGATTTGAGGATAAAGAAGGAAAAGAAAATAGAGGTGAATAGGGTGGAGCCACCGTCGCCGGAATTACCAGCGGCGGCGGCGGGAGCAAAGAACTCTTTCAGGTCACCAAGAGCAGTGCCTCTAATACCATATTGAAATATTGGAATAATAATATTGCTCCTTGAATTACGAAGTACATGATAGAGTATATATAGAAGAGATTTCTAACACAACTAGGAATAGAGAATAGAGACTAACTAAAATACAACATATACTACAAATAAGATTAGGAAACTGACTAATAATGAAACACTACCATAACCAATACTACCAGAAGTAATATTAGTATTATTGTCTAACATTATTTATTTAGAGTATGTTTAATTTATGGTCAAAGAGTGTTGCTGTTTAAACTAAAAAAAGTCAAAATAAAAAAATTGGACTAGGAGTAACAATTTAGTAATGGAGTATTTTTTTCTCCAAAATAATGTTACCCGGTAATATATAAAACGGCATTATAAATTGAGGGGTTTGAACCATTATTTTGGAGAAAAAAAAGGATAGGAATCGTTAATTTTACGAACGAGGTATCGGGTCGAGGCAGAGGCAGAGGGGGTGAGGGAATGTGTTCGGGTCGAGGCAAAGTAGGGATTTACTAATAAGATAGGAATCGTTAATTTTACGAACGAGATATCGGAATGCTCCGGGTCACCTAATGACATTGCGGGACAATGCCATGAGAACTACCCCAATTTTAAAAGGTGAGACTATTTTTTGAAGGGCTCAACTGATTGTTCTTTTAAGAGGAATGCTATGAGTACATCATTTGGGGTACCCCATTTGTACACCAATCATCATAACCCTCCATTGCTTTTTTCATTTTTAATTTTTTTCCCTCTCTTGCCTTTTTGTTCTTTTAATTAAAGGTTGCAAACAACGTGCCCTCTTTTTTTAAAACCTAAATCTAAAATTACCTATCCCCTAACTGTAGACTGTCGTCCAGTGCTCCACCCTCCGCCCCGCTCTTCCGCTACGACGCCAGGTTTTTTTAGTTTCTACGGAGTATAATTGTATCAATTTACTACGTAAACCCTAACATTTTCGTTCATGGAATTGACAAGAATTGGAAATTAAATTTTATGGAATTGAATTCAATGAAAATGAAATTTTCAATTCCAGTATATTTCTTGCAGTACTAATTCCAAATTCACATATTTTGTGCCATCAAATAGCAGAATTGGAAGTGAAGTCTTCAATTCCAATGACTTGAATTCCGTGTAGCAAAGGGACCCTAAGAATAATATGTACTCCGTATCTGTATGATTTATGATATACGGAGTATATGAAATTATGATCCGTGGATTTGTTAAGTATGGATTTGTCATTTGTGAGTATGTTAATTTCCATATGATCATATTAAGGTTTAGTTTTTTAAATTTAATTTGCAAAATGTTAATTAAAGTTAACTTTTTAATTTTCACAATAGTTTTAAGTTTTAAATGCCCTGGCCCCCAAGATTTAAAACACTTAGATTTTTTATTTGGTCTCAAAATGCATTTATCTTTCATATCTGGTGCATCATACGACTACAAGCAATATTTTCATTCCACCAAATGAGCATGCCATCTTTATGGGACATGTCTTCATACTAAGCAATAAAGTGTAAATTTAATCTTATGAAACAGACAAGTAACACTATAAAAAGGGAGTGGGGAAAGAAGAAAGTTGTACAGGAAATTGTTGTGGAAATTGATACGAGTCTTTTTAAGGATTTCAAGCACCATTTTTTGGCTTTGGGGTGTGATGGAATAAAGCAAAATAGATCTCTAAACTGTTGTGCTTCTCTTCTTTAATTAATGAAGTAACATTTAGTCAATCAATGCAACTTCCGATGCTGAGCCGGGGGTTTCTTTGGAAACAGCCTCTACTTTCGAGTAGGGGTAAGGTCTGCATACACACACCCTCCCCAGACCCTACTCCTTGAGGGATTCAACTGGGTTGTTGTTGTTGTAAATGCTAAAAGATGGAAAGCCACAGAGAATGAGGTTCTCTGGCCTTATCTATGAGTGGAAGTTTTAAATGTTTCTACTTAGACATAACATATCAAGCACTAATAAGAGAAGTCACTCCGTGCCTGCCTCTTTCCGTCTTTACACAATTGGTGTGAAGTGGCTTTATAAGCTTGTCATAACAGGATGGATAGAATGTAAACACAGAAGACATTTTCTATAATGTTAGTTCCTTCATGGTCTGTTGGGACAGAGAGTTTTGGAAGGGTAATGAGGTGAATGCTTTGGTGGAACTAGTATATATCTTGTGAATAGAATGTTTCTAAATTCTAAACCAAAAAAGGGTGATTATGATCATATATTTTATCATTTCTTAACATATTTAGAAGTTAAGGAATAATGAAGTGACGGATACCTCCGATTCTACCAAAGATACATACCCACCAAATTCATTCAATCAAGATATTATGATTCACCATGCACTGAGAGTTAAAACTTAAATTTTTTAAAAATCATTTCTTGGAAAGCTTTAAGTAGTTATGATGATTAAACATCCCACCCTTTCATTTTCAAAATTTGGTACAAATAAAATATAGACTAGTTGACATGGCTCTTTGCGAAAGAGTACAAAACACACTTCATGTGTATGCCGTTAATGGTTTAGAACACGGACTCCATACCCAAAAAAATTTAGGTCTGCCCTGGATCCCTTGCCCCCCGGCCCTCCCCTAAAAAACATGATAAAAGATAAAAATGAAAAGAAACCAAATTTGGGAAGTCGGTTCAACATAATGAAAGACCAAATCTTACTTAATGGCAGTAGCAGTGATGAATGGCAGTGGTTCTACTTTGGCCATAGGTTAGGGCTTTCAATTTTTGATTATGCCATCCTTTACTCTAGTGGCCAGTCGCTATTCGCCACCACCAGTCGTCCCTTCATAGCGACCGGATGCATAGTTGACAACTAGTAACACCTTTATAGTGATGCTGATTTGTCTAAGCTTCAACTTGAGAAAGTGAACCATGCAATCCAAAGTTGATTGAAGTCCTGGTGAGGTTTGAAGAGTGAGGAGAAATGCTATGTTAGTTATTGCATCTGTGAGTTGCCAAGATGTTTTTTTATTAGTTAGTAAAAATATGTACACGTGAATATTAAATTGAAACTTATTCTCAGAACCTTTTGAACCAAAAGAACCCATGACGTCTACCAAAAGTTTGCAACATTTTCAATGCGAGTAATTTTTAGGTAAAAAACTACGCTAGTAATTTTTATTTTTATTTTTGTGCATCCTTATATTATTATAAGTTTATGATATTAGTTTATCATAATAAATATAAAAAAAGAAGTTAAAAGATACAAAGCATTCAATAAAAATTATTGAGTTCAATTTTCTTCGATCTCTAGTAATTTGCTTGGGTCAAAGCAAACCTAATTATAAAATGGGTGAACGGGTTCCACTACTGATCCAATTGGTCCAATTAATTGATCCATTAATGATTAATCCACTCGCTCCACCGGGTCACTTACCAATCCGGTTCTCTCAACTTACATTTTAGCATAGGCAGGGAATGAGCTACTAAGCTTGGAGCTTTGATTATGATTACTAATATGACTTTTGCGCACTGGTTGATTGTTAAATGTAATATGGCATGCTATTTTGTACCCTGTTTATTGGTAACACGTTTAGTGTTGAGATATATGTATTATTTATTTTGGATTTTCATACAATGTGCAGATTATACCAAACAAAGAATTTCAAGTTAGCAAAAATGTCAATAAAACCAACAGTGGCTCTGAGAGCCATACTTGTAGGAGGAATAGCGGCTTTTGCTAAAATCGGTGGTGCCATAAAAGCCGGAGGGGGAGCTAAAGTTGCAGCAGCAGCCGCTGCTGCTGCAATGACAGCTGCAACATCGGTAGCTGTTTCGGGATCCAAACAAGAACAGCAGGATTCTGCTAAGCAATTTCCAAAATAACAAATTTTGGCAACGCTAGCTATTTGGTGGCAAAAAAGGCATTATGCGACCTAAACTCAAGTTTGAAGGTTTTGCAGCCTGTTGGGCAAAGCAACACAATGTAGGAATAAAATGTATTATGATTGATTTTGTACCATGGAATGATGTATTGTATTGTATTTTTTCCCATGTTGTCTAGTTGTTGAAAAAACAAAGAAAACAAAGTTGAGAAGTTTCTTCCAAGTTTCTGTTTAAATATGTGTCCAACTCTGGAGGGAGTGTGAGTGGAAAAATGAGAATGCTTCTTTGATTTTTTGCAATTGTTTGAGTCAATTTAAAATGTATGCAGTAGAATAGTAAAAGTATGGAGGGTGCACAGTGACCTAACCCGACCCAATTAGGAACCTCTCCTTTCTTCTCCGATCGGCACAACTTTTCTCCTTCTTTCGACTTACCAGTTGTACCCAATTGTGGGTACAACCGGATGTATAATAGAGTCACTTAAAATTGTATTAAGCTACCGAGTTTAAGGGTGTTTAACAAATCATTTATGACCAAGAATTTTAATCTAGTAGGTTTAAAAAAAGATATTCAGCACCTGAGATTTCAAAAGTTGAAAGAGACACAAGAGAGATTTAAACACTTGAAATAAATTCTCACAAGGGTAGGTACGAGTACGATGAGGACTTTTTGAATATGATATCATTCTCCAAATCAATCTCATAAATAAACAAAAAATTATTATAAGTTGGTACAACGTATAATTACAAATATATAAGAGGAAGTATTACACCAGTAATTGTTAGAAAATTTGGAGGCCATGATAATTGATTACCTCTCAAGATTAATTTTTTTAATTCCCTTTGGAATGTGATTGTTATACCATGACGATAAAATAACCATATGCATAAACCGATCAACCTACTAACAACATGGCTTGATATTATTTTGTTGAAATTTCGATAGGCTAAGTGGATTGGGTGGAGTGTCCGATATGAGATAAAGCCAACACACGGTTCTCAACACCTCCCTCAAGTAGTAACTAGCCTGATCATGTTGCTACATAGATGAATAAGTCTAACATCTCATTCTCTTATAGTTAGCTCGGTGAATACCAAGATGAATCAAATCCGAATCAAACTTGGATAGTCGGTTAACCAACCTCATTAGTCTATTAACCCTCTTGACGTAACGGTAACGTCATAGTCAGGTCATTCAATTGACACAAAAGTTAACCAATTTAACTCCAACAAAAACCATACTATGATTTATTTTTTAAAAAAAAAGCTAACCACAAAGAGCAAGACATCTATAAAATACTAGAGTATATTTTCTCTACTCAAGATTTTGACAAAATTTTCCCTCAAAGATTGAGATCCCATTACTCTACAACTTTATAGAAAATTACGAGAAACTAAATCTTGAATTTTCAACAAGACATTGAATTTCGATGTACCGGAATCCTTTACCAACACTTTTTTTCATTTGTCCCGAAATATTGTGATTTGTTCAATTTTTCTTCTGTTTTAAAAAAACAATACTCCCTCATATATGGTCCAAAATACTTCAACATTAATTTATTAATTACATGTACACGAAAATCCAACAAGAGAGAAATTTAAAAGCCGAAATCAAACTGGATTATATTTGAGGTTTAAGTGACACACCCATGCTTTGGATAATGATTAATGTCAGAGTTATGCACATTTCGGCTTGTGGATCCACAAGTAAAATCGGGCTGCTCCACTGAAGTCACCGAAAGATCAGGGTTTGCCCTTTCCAACTCTAGAATCACCTGTGGTAAATGAAAACAATTTACCGCGGTAAATTACAAGAAGACTTTGATTGTCTCAACAAAAAAAAAGTTAAAAGGAGAAGCTTATTATTGTCTACTAGCACAATTGTTGTCTAATCATGTGTCATACAAAGTAAATGTGTTATTTGATTTTCTATTTCTCAGACAGGATGAAACAAGAGATTTATAGACTTTTGAATGCCATACCACAAGGTTTTTCCCTTCCACAAGGATTGGAGCAGGAACATAGAGATTACACTGAGGCCCAAATGACTGCAAATCAATTGAACAGACTATTTTTTGTTAAAGGAACAAATATAAAACAGCCAGCATAATGCTCTCTCTCTCTCTCTCTGATTTAGTTGTCCATTTTTCTTCTTTTTGGGGTGTTTGGAATTCATTGTCTGCTTATCATATTAAATAAACAAATGATGGCGAATTATATAAATACCCCATAAATCACCCAAAACACCCTAATCGTTTTATACCTAAATATAAGTAAACGTTGAAAATGACACATTGAAACACTTAAACAATGACACGAAAACCTCAACTACCTGTCGCCGGCTGCAGCTGCTGCCAGATTCAGGTGACAGAGTTCCAATTCATTGTCAATGTTAACATTGCAACTCCTATTTAGGTGTCCTATTCAGATGCTTAGTCCATCTTTCACTCTTATTTAGAAGCATTTCTAATTGCATATTAACATTGTTATCGTCAATGAAGGTCAACGTATTCTTGAGAATTACTACTCAGATGCTTGGTCCATATTTTACTCTTATTTAGAAGCATTTTTAATTGCATTTTTATTTTATATGTTACTTTAACTTCGTTCTTTAGGTTTGAGGTATTTCACAACTAAATCTGGACGAGGAGAACAACACTTAAACTAAAATTAATTAGAATACTACCGGCCAGAATCGCCCTATGTTAAATCCATTGACAAATGCAACACCCTTACTCCAGCCCCGAAGTGAAATATATGTGTCCTTGGCTTTTTGGACAGAAAACTGACCGGTGTAGAAAGCTGGTTCTGATCCAATCTCTGCAAACAAAGGAAATTAAGCGCTTTAGCCTGTCCAGTAGCCAGAAGGCACTGAATTGTTTACTATGAACTAGGAAGTAATATTTCATGGTTGCTACATGTATGTTAAATATTGCAAACTCCCTACAAAAAACAGCACTGTTCGCGATCAGTACTACGTATATATCCTGTTTTTTAGTATGAAGGGCGTAACATTTGTTTTTTGGCTTCAAACTTACTCAATTTAGTTTTCAGCCTCTTGTGTACAGATCTTGCAGCTGCCTTTAAATAGTTGGTATGTACATTTGGAATAATATAACTTATGTTTTCGTCCTCATTTAAGTTGTGGAGAGGGACTGGCAGCATTCTCCATGTTTTCAATGGTCTTCCATCAATATATACAGAAGACAATATCCCCTACAAAGACAAAAAAGTGAGCAAAAATTAATTACAAGGTGACATATCATTGCATGGCAGACACAATCCAACACAGCCAAAAGCTTCACCTTCCGGTCAAATATATATGGCCCGTAATTGAGATGCCCCATATTTTCAACCTATAAAAATGAAAATGAAGCAATGATTACTGTCATCTAATATTAAGAAAGAGCTCAACGTTTTTTATTAGTATTTTGGTTCTTTTATTGATGGTTGCTTTTAGGAGTTGGGGTCTTTTGACTCTGCTGTTTTTTAGTTCGTCAGTTGTTAGTGCGATGGTCGGTTGCTCATACACTGGCGCGTAGTGTTGGTTTACAGTGTGGGGTTTGAGATTCTATTCCCCCTGACTTTGTTACTCATTTGATCATGAATTAATATATTCGTTTTTGGCCGTAAAAAAAGAGCTTAGTGAAATATAAATTAAAGGCCATCACGCTAGCGGCATTCCAGAAATTGTAGAGATAGAGATGAAATAAAATGTGAAGAATAAAGAAACTGAGTTCTCATGAAATTGTAGAGATAAAGAGGAAATATTACCATTAGTCAATTACTCCACCCCATTAATTTCCCCTTGCATAAAGTTTAATAAAATAAAATTATGTGGTTGAAATTTAGGGGAGTGTATTACATTGGGAGTCTGTAGGATTTTTTAAGATTTTTAAAATATGAGCGTATTCAATGTGGATTTTCAAAAGTCTTTAAAAATCTTGAGATATTCAATAGAGATTTTTCAAAGTCTTTAAAAATCTTGAGGTATTCAATAGAGGGAGTACTTTTATATAATCACATAATAACAACCGACCCAATAAAATCCCTTAAATGGGATCTAGGGAGGGTAGATGTACACAAACCTTACCCCTACCTAAAAAGGATAGAGAGGTTGTTTCTGAAAGACCCCATCAATTATAACAATAATGGAAATAACATATTCTTTTGAAAAATTGGATAACAATATTAGGAAGCAGTTGAAATTTTGAATTCTACAAGTTATTCCATCTTTGACTTCAATTCAATCCTATGACAATATAGTGCAAAACATTAAAAAAACCAGTGGGGGTGGGTATTCCAATACCAATATATAGATCCTGTTCCTGGAAGTGCAATTAGCAACTGTAAAGCTTATAGGTGTGCTTGACCATCTCATTATAGTGCCTATATATATTGGTCCTTCATTACTGTCTGAAGGGCATGAAAGAAAGACCTGTGCCCTGTCATGCACCTGTCAAATCATAGACAGCATTCCAAAGAATTGCATTTAGATAAACTCCTACGAGGTCGCACTTGAATGCTAGTAATTTAGTATGTACTTGAATAACATACGGATAACAATTTATTGCTAAATTGGCTTACCTTTGGTATTGACAATATGCTTCTATGGCCTTTCACAGCAAAATCAGATACATACAACACAAATCCAAACATCTGAACATCAATAACAATCATGTAGCTGATTATGTCCATTAGCCACTAGAATCATATGCAAAACTATACAACATCAATCATTAAGAGGAACATCTATCCGGTATACCTGACCCAGAGACTCCATTGGTAATGGGTATTCAGATGTTATCATACTATCAACATCCTTAAAGTTAATAACATCGAATAAACGTTGAATGTTCCCTAACTTAATACATCCATACGCTTTCTTTTCATTGTTGGAAGGAACTGGATAAAGAGGTGTTGTGCTATACTTGGCAATGACTTTTTGTAGAGCTGTAATAAGTAACATACTGACTCAGTTATAGAAGATCAAGCATGGTATTGAGAAAAATTAAAATGGCGCCACATAGAACTTTATTGATATACCTTCATACTTTGGATTGTCCACATCGCCTGATTCTTTGATAGGTGCATCCTAAACAAGATAGGTATTCATGAACTTAATT